AAAAATGAGAACAATTTAAAGGGGATCAAAAGGTAGATCAAATGATAAGTTACTTTTAAAAAACCTAACTGCATCTGCAGCACTCCACTTTCCAACACATTCTGCATGGTAGCAAGGCTATTTACACCCCTGGTCTGTGGTCAGAGGGATTTCACCAGAGGCTCAATCCATGTGTATTTTCCCTCCACTTTGTTTTGTTTGGCTGAAACAGCTTTAATATAGGTCAAAAGGGGAATCAAATGGTAAGACATTGACATTTTAACCTAACTGCATCTGCCATAATTGGCTTTACAAAGCTCTCTATCTGATATCATGGCTATTCATATCCCTCAGCTATGATTGGAGGGGATTCACCAGAGGCTTCCTCCATGTGTGGACTCTGCAAATGGATTTTGGGCTTCCACTGCCTTCTGCAAAGCAGGCGTTCACAATTTAAGCTCTGATACCATTCCCTTCTGCTTTAGATTATATTATGTACAATCTTTGGATCAAACAGGTTGGTGTGCTTCTTCCATGTAGACTTAGTTGATGCCTCACTTAGATGGCTGTTAGTTTGAAAACTAACTTTTAAGACCACAGTCCCTACTCCTTTTGGTAGTCAGACACCGTCTAGTTTCTTCACCACACTGTAGCACTCATCTCCAGTGATCTCTTCATGAGGATGAGCATCAAGCAGGGCCATGTCATAAGAACTACTTATTCTTAGATTAGGGCTAGAATTAAGGGCAAGTCCCAAATCCACTCATAGATCTATGATTTCATATAGCTATGTTTATATATGTCTCTGGTTCATCTTAGAGACATCATTTTCATTTTATGTTAGAGAACATTATCAATCATTCCCCTTGGTCATAATTTCCCCTGCTATTGAATCAATACTGGCTCATAGAAACATTTAGGACAGGGTAGAAGTCCTAAAGAAGCCCCAGCAAGTCTTTGAGAGTGAAAATCTTCACAGAAGTAGAGTCCATTGATATCTATTGTTTCATTTGACTTTTACTTATAAAAGCTGTTTTTTAATTTACAGGGATTGTTAACGCCACTTTTCTTACTTTATCATGTTTATCAAATTATATTCTTTAATTTATATTAAATTATATTATATTCTTTAATTTCACAATCAAATTATATATTTGTTTGCTCCTTTATAGATTATTTACATAGTCTCCAAATGTGCCCTGTTTAGCCGTGGAACAGCTTGATGAAACAGGCTTTTAATCAGTCCTTTACTGGTGAAGAGACAGGGCTAGAGGAGTTGAATGATGTGCTCAGGGTCAAAATTGATTCCAAACAACCAACACTAAAGTTCAGATTTTCATACTCACTTTGTAGTATTTTCTGCTCTCCTAAACTGCTCGTAGAAAATATGCAATAGTAAAATATTTCTCTACACTTTCTTACTCCTTAAGGCCCATTTCACATCATTATCTTATTGCCATTAGAATTGTCAAGCCTGTTTTATAGTTTTCTGGCTTCTGGTTAAACAGTGAGGGAGTAAATGTGGGAATAAATGTTACTTTGTCTTAGCCTAGGTTCTCTAGAGCAAAATTAATGAAGTATGTATATGCGTGTGTGTGTGTGTGTGTGTGTGTGTGTGTGCTTGTATATGTGTAGGTACACACACAACATACCTACACACAGATTGAGACAGAGAGAGGCAGAGATTTATTTTAAAGAAATGGCTTACACTGTTGTGGTGCCTGGCAAATTCCTAATCTGTGGGACAGATGTCAGGCTGGAGGCTTCTCCTGACTTTTTTGGTTGCAGGGTATGTAGAGGCCCTAAGTCAGCAAGTCATTTGGTATGCCACTGACCCATGTTCCAAAAACCAGAAGTTAGAGGAATGATCAGTTGGATGCAAGATGGAGAGAGTGGGAGTTCTGTTCTACATCCATATGTATTGGATACAGATCACATCTTTAAGGCAACTGATTGGCTCAACTGATTGGTTGATCACATGTCATAGAATGGAGGATGATGACTTAACACTTTAAGTAAGATAAATTGGCCCAGTGTCTGAAAATCATCGCCTAGCATAGATGACATGTAAACAGTAACCATCACAGTGCCCAAGTTTCTCATATTGCATATGGCTTTACTTACGGGCTTTTGTCTAGGCAGTTCTAATGTTTTGTCTCTCAACTAGAATGTTACCCATCTCAGAAAGATATGTCTGCTATCTCCAACTTGAGAGGCGAAGGTGTCCATTGATGTGAAAAAGTTTTTCCTTACACTTGGAATGTGAGACTAATATTTTTTTCCAACAGTTTTATTGGCAAGTCATTCACTTGTCAATAACTTCAGAAGTTCAATCGTTCAGTCATATCAAGGAGAATTGTATAATCACCCCACATTAATTTTAGAGCTTTCTCACCCTGCCATTGTATAGTCGCCATACGCTGAGTTATGCAATCACAGACCGATATAGTGCTCCCCACCCCATCTTCATTGTTTACTCCTGAAATCCCCTCCCCCTCCCTAACATCCACTCCATACTCTGAATTCCTTACATCCCCTTGTATCAATTATCACGATGCATCCACTCCTCCTGTGCTTCACAGCTGGGACACCCAACAGAAAACAATAAAATCCAAAATCGAGCTAAGGTGGTAAGGTTAAAAATGTAATGGCATTTAAATACAAATAATGCATAAGAGGGAAAACAAAATACAAATACAAAATACAAGAAACAAAAATAAAAATAATGCGTAAGAAGAATAAGAACCCCAACAACATTCAAAAAGCCAGGGAAGAAATTCCTGTCATGGAACCAGTAAGAGATACCTGCACCCACGAAAGGTTCAGGTCACAGTGAGGCTATTTTTAAATGAAGAAGGGCCTTCAAAAAGTGGTGGAAAAAATTCCATTATCTCAGTTCCATTTTTTTCCATGAACTTTTGTAAGTTCTTGCATATATCTAATTTTGTTATGGTTTACTATAAAAATCTCTTTGTTATCTAAAATTTTATAAGGAAAATTTGGTTAAGTAAATTAAGTGATTAGATATTTACAGATTCCATAAATCCTTTTGGTATTTATTTCAGATGTTCTCAAAGCTCTGAAGCCAGATTATGTTGCACCTCTGGTCCTTTGGCTTTGCCATGAGAGTTGTGAGGAAAATGGTGGCTTGTTTGAGGTACTCTGATTTTCTGCTTCTTCCTGAAACAACATTTGTATAATTAAATGTAAAACAATGATTAAAAATGTGCATTTTTGCAGTGCTTTGTCTTTGTAAAAATGTGTATTTTATACTTAGATAGCTTTTGCTATTGTATGTTTGTTGTGATTAAGGAACTAATGTTAACTAATAACCTATTTGAGAAGCTGACAGCGACCTGAAATTTTCTGTCTCCTTAGTTCTTCATTCCTGATATTTTAAGCAAATGAAACATGACTGACTTAATATGCTTAGTCAAAGGTAGAAAGTCTTACTTAGCTTGAGAAGCTAAATGGTCAAGTGGAAAGATAGAGTTAGGGTTTAAAATGAATCCTGCTGGGTTTTGAATTTTTCTTCCTGTAATTTCTGTTCTGGCTGCTGGAATATTGTGCGAATTAACCTCAGATCTTTAAGGTCCCTTGGAGGTTGTTGCGACAACTACGAATCAGATTTTAGGCTCCTATCACCCCAATTTTAATGTTATATCACTGTAGCCTTTACAGAGGAGGGAAAATTCACCACAGTATCTGAAGCTCAGAATTTGGCGTGGCCCTCTTTTATTTTACTAAGAAATACTTTTGAACTATTTATCTTTTACAATGATATTTATTATTAATTCTGTGAGCAAAGTAACATATGCTCTTTGTAGAAAATTTTAAGAGTACAGGAAAATACATAGAAGAAAATAAAAGACCTCTATATTACTACCATCTAGATAAAACTGCTTTTAAGGTTTTTATGTATTTTACTCTTTAATACACATTATACACTACTCGTCATTTTAAAAAATATGCCTTTTACATACACACATAAACACATGAGTAGGTTTGTGCTGTAGATGAAGTTTTGTATGTTGCTGGTTTCTGTAAATTTATCATAAACATTTTTAATGAGGAACCATTTGGCATGCAAGATTGGCAAAATGTTGTAGGAGTTGTATGTAATATCTTGTATTAAACATTAGAAATAACATGCCACTTGAAAATTTCTGATATATATATTTTAAAAGGCAGATAATAGATTTATTTTATTTTCAGATACAGAATTTTTGGCTTAGCTAGAGTCCTGCAAGTTTCCTGTATACTTAATACTATGTACTTCCTTAGTATTTGTAATACCTGAGGAGGTTGCAGTTTGATTATGCACTCTCAAATAATTATCAAAATCAGTCCTGATTTTATATACTCTGACTGCATCAAGACTAACTGGATCTATTGTAAAAGATAAGGATATATTAATGTAAAGACAAAAGGAAATTAAGAGCTATACCCTTGTATATCCTTGAGCTTTGAGTCATTAAGGTGCCTCCTGTCATATCCATGTGGAATCCTTTTTTTTTTTTAACTTTTAATTGTAAATTGGGCAGAGGTTTACAGTGCAAATAAATCTTTCGTTCACATTTATATACATTTTGTTTCAATGACTGCAGTCATCACAGTGTAGTATCACTTAGCCTCTTGGCCCTTCTGTATCCTGTTTCCATTCCTCCTCCTTTCTTAACCCTTCCTTTCTTCTGCACTTTGTCCTTGATGAAGTTCATGGAGTGTATATGGTATCTATTGTAATTTACAGATGAAAAGACTTGTGTATAGCAAGGTTAAACCATTTGACTGGGGTTATACAGCCAGTCAGTAGAAGAGTTGTAAAACCTTGGTTTCTTACCTTGTTGTTTTTAGATGCCATGGAGTCAGTCCTGACTCATAGCAACCTCATGACCAATAGAAGGAAACATCCTCACAATTGTTCTTATGTTTGAGTCCATTGTTGTAGCCACTGTGTTAATCCATCCTGTTGAAGATGTTCCTCTTTTTCATAGCCCCTCTACTTTACCAAGCATGATGTTCTTCTCCAGGGACTGATATTTCCTGACAGCATGTCCAAAGTACTTGAGATGAAGTCTTGCCATCTTTGTCTCTACTGAGCATTCTGGCAGTACTTCTTCCAGGACAGATTTGTTTGTTCTTTTGGCAGTCTGTGATACTTTCAATATTCTTTACTCACCAGTAGTACAATTCAAATGCATTGATTTACTTTGGTTTTCCTTATTCATTATGCAACTTTAACATGCATATAAGGCAATTGAAAATACCATGGCTTGGGTCAAGCACACCTCAGTACTCAAAGTAATATTCTTGCTTTTCAGCACTTTTAAAGAGGTCTCTTGCAGCAGGTTTAGCCAATGCAATGTGTCCTTTGATCTCTGGACTGCTGCTTCCATGAGCATCGACTGCGGATTCAATCAAGATGAAGACCTTGACAACTTCCATCTTTTCTTTGTATATAATGATTGTCACCTATTGGTCCATTTGTGAGGATTTTGGCCTTCTTTACATTGACTATTACTCCATACTGGAGACAGAAATCCTTGATCTTCATTAGCAGGGGATTCAAGTCTTCTTCACTTTCAGCAAGCCAGGTAGAGTCATCTGCAACCATAGGCTGTTAATATGCTTTCCGCCAATGCTGATGCCACATTCTGCATCCTATAATTCAGCTTCTCTGATGATTTGCGCAGCACACAGATTGACTCACACCTTTCCTGATTTTAAACCATCCAGTCTTCCCTTGTCTATTTGTACAACTGCCTCTTGATCAATGTACAGGTTTAGCATGAGCACAACACATTTTTCCAGAATTTCCATTCTTCTCAAGGCCTTCTTTAGTTTGTTGTGACTAACACAGTTGAATGCCTTAGCATAGTCAAGAAAACACAAACATCTGCTCTGCTTTTGGCCAAGATCCATCTGACATCAACAGTGATATCCCTTGCTCCATGTCCTCTACTGAATCGGGCCTGAACTTCTGGCAGCTTCCTGTCAATGTAGTGCTACAATTGCTGGATGATCTTCAGCATTTTTTAGTTGCATGTGAAATCAGGCGAGTGCTTCCAGTGCTTCCAGCTTGATGAAACATTTCAGTTGGTATTCCATCAGTTCGTGGTGTCTTGTTTTTGGCTAATGTATCTTGAACTTCTTTCTAAAGTACCATTGGCTCTGTTCATATGCTTCGTCTTGCAATGGTTGAATGTTGACTAGTTCTTTTTGGTACAGTGACTATTCTTTCCATCTTTTGATGCTTCCTGCACCACTCGATATTTTGTCCATAGAACCTCTCAAAATTGCAACTTGGGGCTTGAATTTTTTTCTTGAGTTCTTTCAGTTTTAGATACGCTGAGCACATTCTTCCTTTTGATTTCCTAATTCTAGATTTTATTACACTAGACTTATTTTTTTAATACATGATTTATACTCCATAGTATTCCTTAATACTTTCAATGTGATAACATGAACAATGCAAAGTCATGGGAGCTAATGGATTTTTGTAGAGATGTATTATATTGCCATCTAACTTTCTAATACTCTCAGTGAGTATTAGAGTATTGTTTTTTCATTTTATCTTCTTTCTAAGTAATTTCACATTAGGTGATTTAATTCTTCTCCCTTCTTTCTAGGTGGGAGCTGGATGGATTGGAAAATGTAAGTCACTGTGTTTTATTTACCATGTATGATTTTACTATCTTTAAACTTCCTTAGATCTGGACAAGGATCTTGTCAAATGCTCAATCACTAGATTCAATGTTCACATACTCAGTTTTAAATTTTATTATTGCAAAACGTATTTTGAAGGATGGCAATTATCCTGTGGTAACTTAAGGAGCCAATCTGTTCAATTTTCTTCCAACAAGTGGTCTTTATTTTAGACATGTCCTACTTTCTTCAGAACTGGTGTTCCTTCAGACAGCATAATCTCTTTGTATTAATGTTTGTATACACGTGCTTCAGGGTATCTCACATGCTTAATTTGCTCTTTCAGCAGAGAAAGGAGTGGGAGGGAAGGCTGCTTTTAAGAAGATGGGACGAGCCTTGTCTTAGATAGCATACAAGGCAGGTTCTCTTAAGCCTCCTCTCAAGCATTCTCTCCCCCCTTTTTTTTCTTATATGAAACGTGAGATAACAGCAGAAGACAACAGGGAATCACATTTTCTGGGATGAAAATTATAGCTGCTCTATTGAAATTATGATCTTTTGTCCCAAAAGTAAATTCACTTGGCATCAGCTCTTTTCTACTCTGTATCGCAAAGCTTGTAAACAACAAATCTGATCATTGTTTAAGCACTTCCTTTTTAAAATTTGTGCAAATTCCTGTTTTATCTTAATTCCAGTCTTCAGTAGTTGGTTGCTGGTATCAAAATTAATCACATGATTATTTAAAAGCTTGTCATCACTGGAGGCCATTGTTAGAACATCATTATTGTATCATATCATTATTTTAGTGACATTTAGTGAGGGAGGGTTACTCCCTCCAGTTGTTAATGTAACTTTTATTCCTCATACCTTTGAGTGTCTTTTTGTTAGTAGAGGAAGCCCCAAATCTGGGACTTCTCTATCCTTGGTTCTTGTCCTGCTCCTGAGAAAGAATTCAAAGGAGACAAATAGGAATATAAGCTTTTTTACTGGAAAAGAAAAATACTCTTGGCCAGTGCACATGTGGGCAGGTTCAGCTAGTCCGAACACACCACCCACTGTAGTTTTGAGGTGTTGTACTCGCACTTCGGATGGTCAAGTCTCCTCTCTCCAGAGTGCTCATAAACACATTGAGTTCATATTGTGCTCACAAGATAGCAGCATCTTGTACTGTTGGATTTAGAACCGCTAACTTCTTTGCTCTGTGAATAGGAAATCCCCCCCTCCCCCTCACCTTTATCCCATCTTCCTGCCCAGGGTGATTTTCTGTTCTACCTAACATTATGACATCCACTTAAAGGAAGAACATGTGTTGAAATGAACCCTGTATCTAGTAACTTGATAAATAGGAAAGATTTAGAAGCAGACGTATCTGGCATTCCCCAAGACAAATTTGCCATTTAGTAATCATCAAGCATTCTATTTACATAAGGGTACTATAGTAGGGCTAGTTATTCTTCTGACTTTTGAAAGGAAATCAGTGTTAGATTTTTTTCTTCTTAAGACATGAAAATTTGTTTATTTCAGTGGACTTCCTGTGGAAAATGGAGAAAGATGGAAGGGAGGAAGAACTATTCAGGAATACCTGCTATACTAACTTTGTTAACTGGAGTCTGATCTGTAATCCTACCTAGACTTCAGTTTGTTTTTTACTAAATTCTGTTCTATCTTTATAAACTAGAGAGGGAAGTATATTACTGGAGTGATCTGTGATCTTGAAGTCAGTTTTGTGTGTGTGTGTGTGTGTGTGATTATATATAATCTAACTTTTAGATATAGTATATCATTCTACCATTAATAAATATATGTCACACTTAGAGGAGAATTTTTTTTTTACTTTCAAGTATTTAAAAATAGTTGTCATTGTCCTAATGTTACATGTTATTCTAGGATATGTTCATTTTAAGACATGTAGTGACACTCCTTAAATTTTAGAATCTTATTTTTTTTCTTAAAAAATTCAAGGGGCTCGTATGCATCTTGCTTTAAATTATGTTTTAATATCTTGGTTTGGTTTCTGTAATCAGTACGCTGGGAGAGAACCCTTGGGGCCATTGTAAGGCAGAAGAATCAGCCAATGACTCCGGAGGCAGTGAAAGCTAAATGGGCGCAAATCTGTGATTTTGATAATTCGAGCACCCCTCAGAGTATTCAAGGTAAGGAGGGTTCTTTGTTAATTCAGCCCTGGCTAGAGCAATGAAGGCACAGCCTTTCTTCTGTTTAGTACTATTTTCATTTTGTTGAGTTAGACTTTTGAATTGTCCACAGCATATTTTCTACTCTAGTAAGTATTAGAACCCTTAAAAATGAAAACCTTTCAGTCATTCCTACTACCAAGTTGTCATCTCTCTTTGATGATTATTTTTTCAGTGTATGCATGCATGAGGTATTTTCTCATCTGTGCTGAATGCACCTGTTCACCATCTGATGGGTGGTTTCAGAGCCTCCCTTGATCTATCTAACCATAACCTGAATCTTCTCACCAAATTTTTTTTTCTATTTTCCAAACATGTATTATTTTATTTAGGTTCAGTGCTTTCATGCTTCTCAAACAACTCATTGCCATCGAGTTGAATCTGACTCAGTATCCACCCTATAGGCCAGATAAAGCTACTCCCCTGGGTTTCAGAGGTGGTAAATCTTATTTGTTTTTTAAAAAATTTAAACGATTTTATTGACATGTATTTCACATACCTCACAATTCAATGGTTTATATATATTAAGAAGACTTGTATGATCATCACCACAATCAATTTTAGAACATTTTCTTCATTCTTGTATTCTTTATTATTAAATGCCTGCTCATCCTCCTCCTGCCCCAATAACTCTAAGAAATTATTAATCCAGTTACTATCTCTATAGATTTACCTATCTTGGATTTCACATAAAGAAAAATGTACCCACTTCTCGTTCAAAGCAATAACAAATTAGAATACTGAAAATATGAGACTGTAGATCTCGAGGGGAACAGAGCGCTTCATCTTTCTCTTGAGGAGTGGCTGCTCTGTTTGAATTGCTGATCGTGCAGTTTGCAGCCCAACTCATAACTTCCTACCGCACCAGAGTGGTTCTCCTGTGCCTAGGGAGTACACTTGGTTTTGTTTGAGTTACTGTGTCACTAATGGAATTTCTCTGCCATTAACAACAACAACAAATACTTGCCATTTCTTTTGTTTATTGCCTTGGCTAGTTTTAGTGTTTCATTAGAAAAACCTAAGGTCCAGACGTTCAGCAAAACATCCCAAGATATTCTGGGACTACATTGATCTCTTAACTCCTACCATGCTACCATCTATAACTAAAACTGCTCTTTACTAGTTTTGGTTAATAAATACATAGTTTTTAAACTGCATTGCAAGTTCCTTTTGCTGGCAGAGATTGTATTTGTATGGGGGGTAGCACAGTGTTGGGCACACAGTACGAATTCTGTAAATGTTTGTTGAATTGAATTATTGAATGATCTGTGACATATTCTGCATGACTAGGTAACCACATAGATAATCACAGTATTAAAAAAAAAAATCACAGCATTTTCCCCAATATGCCTTACATATTGATATGGTATATAATATTTAAAGGCCTCTCTGGGAAAAATCATAAATCAGAATCAATTTATTAATAAAAAATTCTACTTGGGAGGGAGAGAAAAAAGAGGAGCTGATACCAAGGGCTTAAGTAGAAAGAAAATGTTTTGAAAATGATGCCAACAAATGTACAAATGTGCTTGACACAACGGATGTATGTATGGATTGTGATAAGAGCTGCACGAACCCCTAATAAATTGATTTATATATGTATTTAAAAACTCTACTTTTGGTAATTCTATGTTCAGAGTTTAATAGAGAGATATTATGTTTTTGCCCTTAATGACACTTGCCTGTTTGCTGGTGTACTCCTTGAAATCTTCACGGTGCCTTTTCTCAATTTGATCGTAACATGAATGTAATAATAGTAGCATTTTCTGCATTTTATATTTTGATTTGTGAGATAAAATTTGTTTGCAAATGCCAGTTACCTATTAAAATAAATGAAGGAAAAAAAGGACAAAATATATTAAAACTCTTCTGATAGCAGGGTTCCATTTGATTGCCTGGAAAATATTAGACTATTATAAAAGTACAAGTTAATGAAATTACATGATTACAAATGAAAAGATAACCTCTAGAATTTGAAATACAATAGAAAGAAAGATCACCTTTTCTATAGAGTTGCGACTTTCCAGAGCACCTGTTCAATTTTCGCATTTTGCAGATGAAACAACTAAATTCCAGGGAAACGAAAGAACTGGCTCCAGCTTCCTCATTTAGCCGATGTTTGAGCCATGAGTGGACTCAGCTGTCTATCTGTGAGTGCAGTGCGTTCAGCCTATCCTGAGTTGCCTTTTGATTAAAAAGCCTCACTTCTAGGCAGCATCCTTTTTTGAAAAATTGTTTATTAGGGGCTCATACAACTCTTATCACAATCCATACATACGTCAATTGTGTAAAGCACATTTGTGCATTCATTGCCCTAGGCAACATCCTTAATGGGAGGATTAATAGGTAGGAAATCACTCAACCTGTGTCATTAGAAATGATAGCGGTCCCACTTCGTCTCAGACTCTGTATTTAGTTATTTTTATTATTATTATCTTCGCTCAGAAAGAGGTCCTGACTTGTTGGTTTTGCTGGAAATACCCCGAGCTTGCTATCCTGGGGCTTCCTGAGCCTTTTCATTTGTTAACCTTTAGACTCTAGAACAGTGGCTTCAGATCCCCGTCTGAGTCAGTTATCATAATAGTTTTCACTGGAAGAATTTTAGTGATATCTTCAGAGATATTATTTATATTGAGACTGGGGCTAATCTTGGCTTTATTCCATCTTGGGGGTAGGGTTTGAAGAAGGGAGGGAAATTACTTCTTCCTCAACAAACGTGATATATCTATAGGTAAGTATCACGTTTTACAGAATTATAGCTCAAAGATGATTATCCAGAAGCTGAGAACTCTTTTGATTATGTGCAGCTAATGCTTTGTTTTCTAATGAAGTTATCTGTGATTTATTTTGAAATCTTCTGCAATTTTTTTCTTACAGTGCCTTAACATACATTCTGTTTATGAATGTCAATGATGGTCCAGCAGCAGCTTTACTGAATGTTCTAAGGATAATTATCTAGCATATTGGAGCTTTCCTAAGTAACATCTTTAATAGAAACAGTGATTATTACTTTTTTTTTTTTTAATGATTTTTAGAATCAACTGGCAGTATACTTGGAGTTCTAAGTAAAGTAGATTCAGGAGTTTCAACGAATTGTACCAGTCATGCAGCATCACCAACCGCATCAGGATTTGTAAGTGGGAAAAAAACCTGAAACATTTGTTTTCTATAAAGATGTTTTCTTTTCTTTTTTATGTAAGATATAATCACCTTTTTAAAAAAATAGGGTCTTATAATGGATAACAAGCACTAGCAGGGATCATTTAAAAAAAATTTACTCAGAAATCACTTACATTTCTTTTCAAGGTCCCCCTCTTCCTCTTTTCTTAGCCCTCATGGACAGACAATCTTGTAGAAGACTAAGGCAGTGAGGAGTCAATGCCCTTAGCTTTTGCTAGTGCAGTAGAACAGAAAGCAGCACCCTCAGCCATTTGTCACGGCCGCCCCGGATGGTTGGGAACTTCATTGATAATCCCGGTTTATTTATGATTTAAAAAAATGTTTCAGAAAATAATAGTAGTAGTTCTTCCAAGTCATTTCTTTTAAAGAAAATATTGTATGTTGAGATTATGTCAACATATCTGCAAGTAAGAAACCTCCCACTGTGTCAATAATTCTAATAGAAATGTGGCTGTCACTCGTGAAGTAAACTCATTTGTCTTCTGTACTTTTCCCTTTTTTTTAATGTAATGTATGAATGATATAAACTCTTTCATTTGCCTCACATTAGATTCCGGTGTTTTGTGACCTAGGGCAGGCAGTCTGGTGGATTCTGACAAATCGCGATCCAGTCAGATAGGGTAGAACCGCTCTACAGGGTTTCGTTGGCTGTAATCTTTAGAGGCGCAGATTGCCAGATATTTGTACTACAGAGCCACTGGTGGGTTCAAACTGTTAATCAGGTTTTCTTTTAGCCCTTTGGCAAAGGAGATAGTAAATGTCTTTTAGCTTTCTTTCGGGCCACATACTATGTCACAATTCTTGTTTTTTTAACTATATGTCAAAAATGTCAATGCCATTTTAGTTTATGGTTGTAGTTTTTCAACCCTGATTGAAATATTGGACATCATTCGTTTAGAATCTTATGTATAGGTCTCACATTAGCTACTGAGATCATCAAATAGAAAAATATAACGTCCAATTAAATGAAAGACATTCCCAGGAAGGGGCTTCAAGTAAAATTTCATATTAATTAGAGCTATTATGAAGCCATCTAATTTACATGCATTTATGCCTTGTTTTTGCTCAGCAGTTCGTGGTGAATTTTATACAGTAGATCTGATAGCAATTTACTATCTCTATAACAAATTCATTATTCTTTGGATTTGAGGTTAACTAGTTACTGAATTAGTAGTTACTGATTTAGTAGGCCTTTCTCCTTTAGAGTTTTGGGAAAGTGGAAAATGAGACATCATACTATTTGATAGCAAGATGCACACAATAAAAAAGTACTTATCTGTAAATGGAATCATTTTCTACACATTATCTGATTGGCTTCTATTTTTAAACTTCTAGTTCAATGACAGTTATCATCCCAAAAGTTCACTAAAATGGCATTCTATTAGCAGCTTTCAAAAGCAAAATTCAGTATATAAGCATTTACTTGTTTTGGAAAGTTGAAGCTTGAAGATTTCACAAAAATACTGTCAATGAAAATAATACTTTTTTATGGCCTTTCCACAGGCAAGTGTTATTGGCTATCAACTCTCTTCATTTTCTTGTGCTTATACCGAACTGGAAGCTATTATGTATGCCCTTGGAGTGGGTGCCTCTGCTAAGGATCCAAAAGATTTGAAATTCATTTATGAAAGAAGCTCTGATTTCTCCTGTTTGCCTACCTTTGGAGTTATCATTGCGCAGAAATCTGTCATGGGTGGAGGATTAGCAGAGGTTCCTGGCCTTTCAATCAACTTTGCAAAGGTGTGCCTAATAAGAAACCTTTTATGTACTTCTCATCAGTGTTTAAATATGATTGATAAAGCTCACATCATCTATATCTGTGTGTCATACACACATGTATCTATATGTGTATATATATATATATATAAAATTATAAAATAGTGTATAGTGGTTAAGAATAAAGATTTAGCATGTTTTTATTTTTAAGTATAAAAGATATGAGTTTAGTAAGGGAAGCAAAAAGAGGAAAATAACAACTATGTACAGTCCCAAAATCTTGATACAATGTGATTAATCCTCTCTTTGCCATTAACCTTACTATTTGACTTAGAGTAGTTAACTACTCTAGCCTTATTTGTAAAATACACATGTTAGTTCTTAGCTCATGATATTGGTGAGGGAACAAGATAGATATTTGAGTCAGAGATAATGGGGACAAAAGATACTGAGATCAGTGTATATTTGGCTTGTTCTGGGCTTATATATCTGTAGAATGAGCCAGAGGGCCATCCTGGGAGAAGGCCTGTAGGCCCTTGTGATATTTTACTTTGATTGACATGAGATGCTATTGGTTATTGTAGTACTTTGAGCTAAGAAGTGGCATGATCTTGAGTATGTTAAGTCACAATCTCACTCCTGTTGCTGTGTGGAGAGAAGATGTATAGGTGTTAGCATGGGAGCAAGGGAAACTATCTATAAAACTATTTCAGTAATCTGAGCCAAAGGGCTCAGCCACAGTCCTATGTGGGGTCCAAACCATCGGAGGCACTACCTGAGAATGTATTCAAAGTTGTCATAAACGTAAAATGTCAAATAAGAAGCTAGTTGATAAGTGAGAAATAGGTA